CATTGCTTCAAGTTTACTAACTAATAGTGCATCATATTGAGGTGGCAGATTTACCCTCCTCCCTGTTACAATAGGTCAGCTGGAGAAGTTTGGAAAGGCTTGTTCATGACTTTCACTGAGAAAGTCAGCTGTAGGATAAGACTGATTTTGAGGTTGCTGTTGTTGGCGTTGTAGAGGGTTGGAGCTTTCCCCAAGTTCTGGTGTGGCTCTTTTAGTTCTAGGCATGATGTCAATATCTGTTGAATTTTAATGGAAACGTGTTACATATGAAAGCTAAATTAGAGCTGGCATGGTGTTACTGCTCAAATAAAACATAAAGTTAATATGTAGTGTTTGTTGTGCAGAAGTGCACACTGAAATGGAAAAACAACATGAAGTTAATATGCAGTGTTTGTTGTTCAGAAGTGTAGCAGTGCACACTGAAATGGAAAAACAACATGAAGTTAATATGCAGTGTTTGTTGTTCAGAAGGTAAGAAGTGCACACTGAAATTGAAAAACAACACGAAGTTAATTTCATATGACAGAAATTAATGTTAAAGGTGAACAAATAAAGCATGTTGTTGTAGTTTGAACAAATAAACCAAGTTCTTGTCTGTTTCATATGACAGAAGTTAATTTCCAAGATTAAACACTAATGTAGTTTGATTAATACATGGTGTCATGCTCTTTAGAAGGTTAAAGTTGAACAAATAAAACATGCTGTTGTGCTCACTGAAAGAAGGGCCGAAGAAGTGCAAGGAAGTGCACACTGAAAGGCGGAAAAAAAAATGTGCAAGGCCGGTTGACCAACCGGTTGACCCACCGGTTGACCCGTTTGTTCAAGACTTACTCTATTTTGCTGCTGCCTTGTTGTTCCTACTAATGTTGGCCTTGTTGCTTCAGATGCTTTGCCTTGCTGATTCTGTGGATTCACACTTATAATTATACTGTTTGTATAGAGTGAATATGCAGTGTTTGGGAATAGAAATTGGTGATGCCGAATTTGAAGGTGGTGGAGGAGGGAATACAATGAATGTGTTCTTATAGAGGCAATCTGTTGATAGAGTGAATCTGCGAATAGAGTGAATTTGGTGAGGCCAAGTTTGTATAGACTGAATCTGTTTCATCTACAATCTTAAGCTGATATAGAAGGTGAATTATTGATGTAGGTGGTGGAGGGAATTAATATTCAACTAAATTGGTTGAATGAATTCAATGGAGGGTGGTGTGTGTAAAATGAGGCATTGACCCATTTGATGAGCCATTGAATTCGCATGCCACATCTGTAGCTTGAATGCATTTATCTACTGAATAAATGAATGGTAAGCCAACCAGCATCAATAAATGAATGGCAACATCATCAGTAATAAGCCCACCAACATCAATAAATATATGGACAAATAAATTCGACACCAATACAAATATGTACTGAGGCCTCGTTTGGGAACGGGCTAATTTAGTAACTTTTTGGCTTTTTGGCTAAAATATGAGCTAAAAAAAACTAGTATATTTGGGATGACTTACGAAAAGATGTGCAAAAAGTAAAGAGAAAAGAGAATCTTTGACTTTTTGGTATGGGTTGTTGGCTTTTTCATTTTTTTAGTGACTTTTTGACTTTTTGGCTAAAAAAGCCACTTGTCAAACGAGGCCTGAATATATGTATTGAATAAATATATGTACTGAATAAATTTGTATGCCACATCAATAAATTCGTATACTGAATAAAATCATATGGCACATCAATAAATATGAATTGTGAATAAACACTACAAGAAAAAGCATTTTTACCGACCACTTTTAGCTACCAAAACGCCGACAGGGTATAGGCGACTAGTTTGGCGACAAAATATTTTAGTCGCTAATTGTTTCGGCGACCAAAAATGGGGCTTTTGGCGACCAATATTTTGGTCGCCAAAAGTGGCATTTCCTGTAGTGAAATGAATTTCCAAATTTCATGAATCTTTCAACATTTAAATATAAGACAATTCCAACAACATCGGTAAGCATTTTCTCATTATTTTGTAATTGATTAACACATGGTTATTATCATTTGTAATTCTTTGGTACTTAAATTTATGTGGATATATCTAAGACATGGTTATTATCATTTTTAATTCTTTGGTACTTAAATTTATGTGGTATTATCATTTGTAACTGATCAAGACATGGTTATTATCATTTGTAATTCTTATGAATTGAACACTGAACAATTCTCAATATTATAGATTAGATCATCACAACAGCACATCATAACAGAACTTCTTACCTACTTGGTTAATATTGATAAAATAATGAAGAGTACAAACAAGACAACCTCCCATTCCAAAACTATAAACAAAATTACATGTATTGATGTCGTGAATTTAGTTTTCATCATGAAGATGTCACATATGTTCTATTAAATCATTATGGACGGCATGATATGTACCTTTATCTCTAATACCTAAATGACGAGAGAAAAATAATTGGAAGTCATTGGTAGGAGTAGAGGAAAGTTGCACTGGTGCGTTGGTTGATGAAAGTTCATAATCGAAATCAAGGTGCTTCTCTCTCTCATTTTCGACAATCATATTATGTAATATAATGCAACTCTTCATTATGTTCGCAAGCATTTTCGGATCCCAGAAACGTACAGCACCACCTATAAGTGCAAATCGAGATTGAAGCACTCCTAATGCCCGCTTTACATCTTTCCTTGCAGACTCTTACATCATTGCAAAATGTTGTTTCTTTGCTCCGTGGGGAGAAGAAATTTTGTGAACCAGTGTTGCCCATTGAGGGTATATACCATCAGCAAAGTAATAACCCATATCATAACTATATTCATTAATAATGTAATGGACAGGGGGAGCTTTACCTTGAGCAAGATCAGAAAACAAAGGCGATCGGTCCAACACAATCAAGTCATTGTGTGAGCCAGGCATTCCAAAAAATGCATGCCAAATCCATAAGTCATAAGATGCTATTGCTTCAAGAATAATGGTTGGCTTTTTTTGATGGCCTACGTATTAACCTTACCATGCCTTTGGACAATTTTTTCACTCCCAATGCATACAATCTAAACTTCCCAACATACCCGCAAACCCTCGAATCTCCCCAATAGCAACTAATCTAGCAATATCAATTGGTGTTGGAGATCTCAGATATTCTGGTCCAAAGATTTCAATCACTGAATTACAAAATTGTTGCAAACTTTGAATTACAATGCTTTCCCCGATACGTATATGATCATCAACTGCATCTGCTGTCACTCCATATGATAATATTCTCATAGCTGAAGTCATTTTTTGTAGGGGAGATAATCCAACAATATGAGCTGCATCTTGTTTTTGAACAAAATATGAATTGTGTGCTTGGATTGCATTCAAAATTCGCAGATACAAATGACGACGCATTCGAAAACGTCTCCGAAATATTGTAGGTGAATACACTGGATTTGCCGCAAAATAATTTGCAAACAATCTCTCATGACCCTGTCTTCTATCTCTGCGTATGTACTTATGGTCAACAATAAAACCACCTATTTTCTTTAAGCTATCACTTGACTGCAGAATCTGAAGCATACTAGCATTATTCATCTCATATGCCCCCAAAAGTGTGACCATATATTCATCATCAAGCTCATCATCAGAGGAGGAGGAAGAAGAAGAGGATGAAAATGAAGTGGAACATCATGGATTTTAAGGTATTCATTATGCTCTGTTTTCTTTAAGCTATGATCGTATCAGTTGTCTGGACTTGTCTGACATATGGATAATGTGTTTATATCAGATTTTAGAATCAAATCATTGTTGCAGGTAAACAAAAACGAAAAATATGTAATGGAGGGAAAAATAAATTGTAAAAGAATTGGGAATAGAAAGAGAGGGAAATCAAAAAGAAAAATTTATGGCCTTACCGGTCAGCCCGCCAGTCGACCCTCCCCTTTTGATCCACACCGTTGGAGTAAGTCATATCAGATTGAGAAAATGATCTATTTTTTACTCAAATTTAATAAAAAAAAGTAATGAAATATTAAAAATGCTCTAACAAATGCAAAAGAACACGCGTGCATGGCCAAAAATAAATATAAAATAGTCCACAAGGCAAGGCCACCAAAAATCTGAGGAAATGAGCTAACCACTAGGTAGGTACCACTCCCCAACCAGACGAAGAGATGGCTCAACAAGTTATATAGACCCATGGCTCTCCTGACTCTGCCAAAGGTGGTGGGGGTCCATCAGGATGTGAACACAAACATCCTCTTCGAGTTCTGTTTTTTTTTTTTAAATAACTTTTTATTTTTTATTTTATTATTATTAAAAATCTTATGTTTGGGTTACGGACTGACCATTAGGTCAATGAAAAAATATTAATTTAATAACCTTAAAATTGTAGGTTTAAATCTCTGGACAACAACCAATCTTTCTCTTTCTAAACGTTTTATATATTTATTTATTTTTAACCTTATGTTTGGGTTGGGATTATTAACTTTTATTAAGTGAACTTTGAATTTGGTGTCCAAAATTTAAAAAATTATTATAAATTGTCACATCACTTTCTCTATTCTTCTGCATATCATTTTATAAAAAGATAAAAAGTTATTAAAATAGTATATTCCTAAACGAGACATTATCTCTTATTTCTCTAACTTTGAATTTAGAAAATAAACTTTACTATTTAATTCTTACGACTTCAATAAATACATATTATAATATTATTTTTTTATTATTTATTTTTATTTTTTACTTAGGATTGGTTTGACATGTTTAAAAAAAGTCAAAAAGTTAATATCATATTTAAATTATATCATCTTATTTAAGTCACATCACTTCTCTAACACATCACTTTAAATCCAACCCAAACCCAATTCATATTTTATAAAAAGTCAAAAAATATATTTATTTAGATTATCCTAAACAACCTCTTACTTGAATTGTAGACCAACCACTTAATTTTTTTTAAATGAAGTTCCTCACCATCTTTTCTTTTCCTACTTTATGACTTTTCGAGATCTATAAATTGCACTCCAGATGCTTCACTAAGCATATAAAAACATATAGAGGTACAAAGATTTGGAGAAACGTAAGAGAGAGATGGAGGCTTTTCCAGTCATTGACATGGAGAAACTTAATGGTGAAGAGAGAGCAGCAACTATGGAGATGATCAAAGATGCTTGTGAGAACTGGGGCTTCTTTGAGGTACAGCATTAATGATTAAAGATGTTTATTTGAAGCAGTTTTGTTTGGTATATTGTTTTTGTTTTCTGTTTTTATTTATTAGAACGCCGTTTTTAAGAAACAAAGCAGCCATTTAGCATGTGATTTTTTAGTTGGCTTTTAAGTTTTTGGTTATTTTAGTTTCGGTTAAAAAATTTACTTAGGTTCATTTTTTGATTTTTATAAGAAAAAAATGATGATTATGATTTGAATATAATATTTTATTTTATTAATTTTAGTCTTTTTTTTTTATAACTAATTTAACCCAAAATGTCAATGCCAAACGAGGCCAAAGAAAAATTAATTTTGAAATTAGGAAGATTATTTTTGCACAAAAATAATAACTAGTGATTTCAAAGTAATCTAGAACACAATACTAATCATCTTATTTAGCTTAATTCACTTCTTATGTAATTGATTTTTTTGTTTTCAGTATTTTTTTATTTTTACTGACTTTTTTTTATAAAAATTTTACGTAAATGTTTTATTTTTGAGATACATCTAATTTAAACATACTTATAAAGTATAATATTTGTGAAAAAAAATTTAAAAATCACCAAATACAAAAAATACAAAAAAATAATAATAATAATTCAACACATTTTCGAATTTTGTTGTATTTTTTTTTATTTGTACAAATTTTATATTTTAAAGTTTATCTTGGATCCAAAAATAATAATAATAATCAAAATATTTTAAAAAATCACTAAAAATGCAAAAAAAAAATAACCCAAAAAATTATTTTTGAAAATTTCAAACCAAATAGAGAATAGTTTTGAAATTTTTACTGATTTACCTCTTCTTCTTTTTTCTTTCTTTCTTTTTTTCCTTTTTTGGGTTATGAAGTTGGTGAATCATGGTATGTCCCATGAGCTTATGGACACAGTGGAGAGGCTAACAAAGGAGCACTACAAGAAGTGCCTGGAACAAAGGTTCAAAGAAATGGTGGAAAGCAAGGGTCTGGAGGCTGTTCAGTCTGAAATCAACGACTTGGACTGGGAAAGCACCTTCTTCTTGCGCCATCTTCCTGTTTCCAACATCTCTGAAATCCCTGATCTTCAAGATGATTATAGGTTCATATATCATACCATCAAATCTCTCTCTCTCTCTCTCTCTCTCTCTCTCTCTCGCTCTCTCATGCTACTATATTTTTTTAATTAATGGTCAATTGTTATGTTAGCATTTCGGGTGAGTAGAAACTCACGCCACACACCTTACAAGAAAATCTTACCTTCTCAATTGCACTTCTAAGTGGAACTAAGATCTCCTCTTAAAAGAGAAACTTCGGGGAGTTGAAACTCACACCACACACCTTAAGAAAATCTTACCTTCTCAATTACACTTCTAAGAGTAAGATCTCCTCTTAAAAGAAAAATTTGGTGGCCAAAAGATTAACTATGTAAATCACTTTGGTATTTTAAAAAACAAAATATAATGAAAAGTTTAAAATACTCGTCATTTTTATATCATTTGCTTTTTTACTAAAAAAGCGTTTCTGAATATTTGAAACTTTTCTTTTTATAATTTCTAAAAAGTGTTGTTTATTGAGTTTTTTTTTCCCCCCAGAAAGAGTTTGCTTTGTTTTTGTAAAATAAAAACAGAAAATAGAAAACAAAATCAATACCAGACAGCTCCAGGGACCAATGTTTCGTTTATAAGAAAAAAAGTGCAAAGAAAATATAATATGTCCTGGTTAAGATTCATCTTAAATATTGTATTTTATTTTATTTTTTTATGAACAAAGAGATTTTATTGATGAAAAATGCTAGCATGAGTCAACATCAACAAAGTAAAAGCGTGCAAAAAATATCACATCATAGGAAATAATATTCATCCTACATCATAACAAATAATATCCATCCTAACTAGGTTGGCATAAGCAAGAAATCCAATCCGTTATCACATATAAAAATCACACAGTTGAAAGATTCTAATGGTCCAATGGTATAGGCCATGTTTAAAATAAATTTAAATCACATTTTTTATTTATTTATTTTAATTATATGCATATAGCACTATTGTTTGTACTTTGTTTATGTATGCATTCCTTGGCTTACATATAGATTGTTGTTTTGTGAGTGGTTTTTAACAGGAAGGCAATGAAGGAATTTGCTTTAAAACTAGAAGAACTGGCTGAGCAGCTTCTGGACTTGCTATGCGAAAATCTTGGGCTAGAGAAAGGGTACATGAAGAAGGCTTTTTATGGCTCCCAAGGTCCAACCTTTGGCACCAAGGTGAGCAGCTATCCTCCATGCCCTCGTCCAGAGCTCATCAAGGGCCTCCGGGCCCACACCGATGCCGGCGGCATCATCCTTCTCTTCCAAGACGACAAGGTCAGTGGACTCCAGCTGCTCAAGGATGGTGAATGGATCGATGTCCCCCCCTTGAAACACTCCATTGTTATCAACATTGGTGACCAACTTGAGGTATTGTAATGTTCTAACCACTACTATTAAATGCACAACACTTTTTTTTATTGTGTTTTCATTTTCTCTCTTTTTGATTTTCAAGTCTTCTGAAACAAAAATAATGAAAGATTTTAAAAAAAATTTCGTTTTCATGTTTTTTTATTTAAAAAATTTTCTTTGTAAAAAAAATAGTTTACCAATACAAACTTTATATTTTTGGGAAAGTGGAAAAGATTCTCTCCTCTCCACTGTTGGACTGGAGAAGTGTAGTTAGTGTCTGTGCGGTTTGATATGAATAATTTATTTGTATACATTATGATCGAAAAAGTTCAGATTGGTATGATATTTATCAGTAACACTGAAAAACCATAATTGTTACCTAGAAATTTACCCAGAAATATGTATATATGATCTTGATTGTTCAATGGAACACATTAATTCAATCTCATCCACACTTCACATATTTAAGACAAACTAAGATTGTAGATTTGTTTAGATATTTAGAGTCATATAATTTTATATTTGTATATTAAAAAATGAATAGTCTATTTTTAAAATTTTGTTTGACATGTAATGATGTAACTATGAATAAAGAATTAATCAAAAAAAAATCATTCATAATTTACTACACAAAAAACTCTACAAAGTGAACAATTTAATTGTTAAAGCGATACTTATATAGTGAGCCACCTGGCTGCAACACCTCTCTAGTCCAACTAACATGGTTTTTACCCATTGCATCATTCAAAAAAAATGTACTTATAAAATGGTTAACTATTTTGATTGTGCAATTTACAGGTAATCACAAATGGCAAATACCAGAGTGTGATGCACCGGGTGATTGCTCAGTCAGATGGAAACAGAATGTCGCTAGCTTCGTTTTACAATCCAGGCAGCGACGCTGTCATCTATCCAGCACCGGCACTGGTGGAGAAAGAAGGAGAGCAGAATCAAGTTTACCCCAAATTCGTGTTCGAGGACTACATGAAGCTCTATGCTGGACTCAAGTTCCAGGCTAAGGAGCCCAGGTTCGAAGCCATGAAAACCATAAAAACTCCTGTGAACTTGGGTTCAATCGCAACAGTTTGATTGGCTTCCTTGTTAACAAGGTATGATAATAAGGATACAATAAGGTAATTAGTGAGACTTAAGATATTAAGTTTGCTTTTTCTGATGTTTTGTTCATAGAGGGTTTGCTTGGCTTGGCTTGCTAGTGTGTTGTTGTGAACTTGGAGTTTTAAATAAATTATTAGAGCTTGGTTGGACTTGAAGTGATCATGTATGGTTTGTGTTGTGGTGGTGTGGTGATGATTATTAATATTCTCTCTGTTGTATAAAGTAACCAAAACTTACCTCTTTGATGTGAAATGTGTTAATGAAAAAGTGTCTTCCATTATATCATTGCTTCTTTGTGAAGGTTACTACTTCAACAGGAATGTGTAAAATTGTTGTCTAAAGTCTGGCCTCCTTTGATACCTAGTTAAAAAGTCACATTTTAAATTTTTAGTATTTTAGTTTTTAATTCATTTCAAAATTTTAATTTTTCCATCTTTTCAATCCATTTAGTGTAGAAAAATTAAAAAATATAAAAAAATAAAAAATAAACCAAGAAAAAGCTTAAAAAATCAATTACTTTTTACTTCTTTGTTTTCAGTGGATTTTACTAAAATAATAAAAAGTTAACAAAAAATCACTCAAAAAATAATTCCAAATGATTAATAGTGATTACTTGTAAAAGTGAATCACTTGGAAAAGAGAGTTCATTACTGAGTTTAGGGAAATGCTTTGTACTATATGCACCCCAAAAAAACCCATAAATTAGGATGAGTAATATTATTCATAATCTCATTTTATTTTTCTCAGTTCTCAATACAAAACATTAGAGCTTGCATTCATAAATACAGATATAATTCACCCACTGAAATAATAAAAAATTATATGTAACATTTTTCAACTGAAATTTGTGGTGCAATTAAAATTTGGCCTGCTGTGTTGAACTTCTAAGGGTTCATTGGGAAAGTAGGTTATCTTTTTTATTTTTTGACTTTTTTTTAATTATTTTAATCTAAGGTTAAAAAGTTTCGTTTGGGAAGGACTTAGCCTTTTTAATTTTTTTGTGAGAAAAAGAATGTAATGATTATAGATTTGATGTGATTTTTTTTATTGAATTTAAAAATCTATTTTATTTTTTATGACTAAATAATAAAAAAACAAAACACCCCAAACCTAGCTTCCCAAACGAAGCCTAACTAATTGTCAAAATTTGGATGATCTTTAGAGTGGCACATGCAATGAACGGACACTCTATATTAGGACCTATGGGCTAAGTTATTTGGCTTAATAGGTGAGGGGTTTGCATTAATCCTATGACATATAACAGTTTTGGGGATCAATTTTTCTTTTTCTTTTTTTGTTTTTAAAAGTATAAGTTTTATTGCAAAACATATTTAGGAACGAATTTCAGTTGTCGCGAGAATAATCGTTAAAAGATTATTTTGAAAAATTAAAAAAAAAAACTTTTAAGGACAAAATTTTAAAAATGTCGCTAATAAATGCATTTTAAGGAACAAAATAACTTCGTCCCAAAAAAGTTCATTTTTTTAGACGAAACTTTTTGTCCCGAAAGGTTAATAATTCATCATTAAATGTCTAATTTTGTCGCTAAAAATAAAATAATAACACTTTCATTGACAAAAAATATTTTGTCCCTAAAAATTGATTTTGTCTCTAAAATCTTAATTTCTTGTAGTGAATATTTGATTGATAAAAATGGTATAATAAGATTGTAATAGTCCTATGTGTGGGTGTTGTGTCTTTTAGATTCTAAGGTACGCATCCCACATCGACTTGCTTTGATCAACAAAGAGTTGTCACTTAATTTTTAAAAAAGAATTAAGAAACCGTTAATGATGAAAACTAAGTTAAGTCCTAATCCGTTATCATCAAAAAAATTTCAGGTTCAGGAGCTTAGGTACAAAAGGGAAAGGCCATTTTCATGGAAACACCTTTCTGCCCAATCCGAAAATTGGCTTATACTCACTTTCTATTTTATGATTTTAGTGGTTAATTATTTACGTAAATTTATTTTTAGACCTAAAACCTTTAACTAACCTAAACGATGTGATTTGAAAAATAATAATAAATATAATTTATTTTAGATTTGAAGGAATAAAGTCATATTTTCAAGAGAACAATGATTTTTCAATAAGAAGTGGATTTTATCAATCCATGACTATAAACCCAAATCTAAAATTAACAATATTCAAAACATTCAAAACATACAATTTTGCATATAAAGAACAAATAAACTTGGATTATTTAAAGGACAATGCAACAAGGACATGCACATGTTATGGAGATTGAGAGAACTTACCCGGTCGCCCACTTTTAGTGTCTTATATGTAGTACATAAATTAAATATGATCCTAATATACAACTAATACATACAGGAATGATCCTGTCCAATTTGAGGCTACAAGTATGATGAATATGCATGATATACAACTAACACATAAAAAGAAAAAAATACTAGAAAACTACATGATAATCAAACCGGGCCATACATGATTATTATATGACTAAAATAAGACTAAAATATGTTGTTTTGTTTAAAAGAGAAAAAAAAATATGTGAAAATATAAGAAAAACTTGATGAAATATGCAAAACTACATGATAAAAATGACAAACAAACACCCTAACTATGACTAACTACTGAAAATATGGATAAAAGAAGTGCTGAAGTAATGAAAATGTGAGAAGTTATTTGTTGTTTTGATGAAAGCACAAGAAAGAGCAAGAAAAGTTTTCTTACTTACAAGCCTCCCTCAAGCTTTGGTTATGACTTAGTTCGAGTTCTTCAAGCCTTAGGATGATGAGAATTAGAGTTGTTGTGTGGTAGGGTATTTTCGAAGCTAAGGAGAAGGGAAGAGAGGAGCTATGGTCTCTGGCTCTTAAACCTCTGAAAAATGCCTCAAGTTCTTACCCTCTCCCAAGAGAGATGGAGGGGTTCTATTTATAGAGTTGGAGGAGGCTCTAGAACCCTTCTAGAGTTTTATCGATTCCCCCTCTGTTGTTCCTTTAAAAAATGAGCCAAGATTGAGTTTTTATACCTAGCTCTACGACACTTTGAAATGTGCACACACCGGTCTCGCACGCATACATTGCCGATGTGCGCACATACTTCAATGCGTGCATGCACAAATTCTCTTGGTACACGTGCCATGCACACATGCACAAGTGTGGGGTTCCACGCCCATGGCTTGCTTGCTGCACAAGTAAGCCTAAATTGCGTTATGATCAATGTTTTTGATAATACTAGCCACTAATTTTGGAAAATACGTTTGATCGAATCACAATTAGACTTCTTTTTGTTTCTCGGGATTAAAAAGTTGATTTTCAACTAAAAATACGCTCAAGGGTAAAATGGTCATTCGCAAAAAAGTTAATTTTTGGCTAAAACAGGTTTACACAGTAATTCCAAACATCCTTTGACATTCCAAAGATGAATTAATTTTACCATTTCATTATTAGGAGTCTTGCAAGTGTCTAAAATTTTAGGGTCAGTCAAAATGGAATTTGTTGTGAAAAAATCATTTTGTTACACTACTTTACAAAAACAATGAAATCACTTTTTATACGATGAGGATTTCATATAAATTTAATCTCAATTAATTAATACCATCATATTTTTTGTGTATAAACAAATACAATTTATGTTTCATTTTCAATTTAACACATCCATGCTAACATATTATTTCTTTTTTAGAGGAAGGAAACTAAGACCAGTAGGAGATCCATCAAGGAACATCAGAGGATGAACAGATTCAAGAACACAACTATACTAATATTATTCGAGGCACATGTTAGTTGGGTCGAACATCGAGTTTTCAAAAAAAAACAAAACAAAAACAAAACAAAACAAAAACAAAAGAAATTCTATTACTTAATTTTAACTGTAATCCTGTTGCCTTTGGCACAGCAGTAACTGTTATGCCTCAATTGGAGGTTTATTAAGGGCTTATTTTTATAATCTGAAGCATTTATTTTGTAGGGTTCGTTGAGTATTTCATTCCTACCAAAAATCATATTAATCGGAAACTTTTGGACCCCTGGAACCCTAGACTCTAGAAACTTCTCTGTAAAGCACAATTCGAGTTGGATTAGCATCTAAAACTCATAGTCTGACTGAAATAAAAGAACGAATAAAATTATAAGTGAAAGGAATTTTGTCAAACGGGATTTCCAAGAATAAAAACCTAACAATCTGCCCCTTTGGCAATGCCGTGACAAAACACACCTAACAAATAAAATTCTAATCACCCCAACCCATTATAACAAACAAAAGCAAACTTCTTTCTCAAGGTCATGATCTGCAAAACAGCTATTAGTGCTACAATCTTCAAAACAACTATTAGTGCCACACAAGTATATGAAAAAGTAATAGACATATGACAAGATTATCTTGAAGCATGAGATGAAAATATGAATAGATGTAGATTGAAGATTTTAAGAACATGTAGCATGAATAGATGAAAATCCTAAGACTTTAACAACATGTAGCATGAATAGATGACAATCTTAAGAAATATGCAAACACGCTCAAAAACCATTTTGATTTTCACTCAAACTTCTCTCCCTTTTGTTACGAATAGTCAAAGGAAGCTCAATCAACTAAAGCAAAATCATAAAACACATAAGCAATGATATGATGATATAAATATCAAGAGCATGCAAGAAGGAAACAATCAAGAAGCAAAGCATAGCAACAGGCAAACCAACTAATACCAAACTCCCTTACCAAACCAATTAATGTAAGTTCATGCTAAAAAAACCCTTGCAATAATATATCAAACTCCCCCTCACTCAAAGCAACCAAAAACATTGAAAACAATGAGAAAACGACAAAAAAATAATATGGTGGAGCAAGTAAGGAATTTTTAGATTTGTACCTTAAAACACACAAGATTATCCATGAAGCACAATTACTTGAAAACACAATACGCATAACCTCTAGAAGATTCCTCATAAAAGAAAGTGATGCATTATGTGAAGAGTATAGATCTCATGAAAAAAGTGTGTGTGTGACTCTTTGAGTTCGACAAACACTAGTTTTAAATCCTAGTGGTAATCTAAAAGTTGGACCTCCAACAAGAGAATCTAAGCACAATTAAGGAAAGTCATACCACTAGGAAACAAGAGGTATTTGGTGAGTAAAAGCGGAGGCTCCCCCCTCAATCAATTAATCATTTTTTTTTTCTTTTGCACATTTTTTTCTTTTCTTTTCTTTTCTTTTCTTTTTGCACATTTTTTTCTTTCTTTTGCACACTCATTGGTAGCTAACACGCTCAAGAGTATGGAAGTCGAACCAAAGAAGCATAGAGACAATAAGGATAGCT